AGAAGGTAGTCTGTTTAGAAAAGAGAAAGGGTAGAGTGAATTTATGTCTGATAAATAAAGTCTTTTACCTCGAGGTTCTTTTATTGTGACCATAGAAGTTAAGGTTAAAGGGGAAGGGTCGTAATTTACATTGTTTTTACATTGTTTTTAAGGTAGCTATTGAACAAAAATTTTTTAAGTATCTTTAAAGATAGTTGGGGTATACTGTTGTTTTGAGTTTTTAGTTTATATGCCCTATAGAGGTTTTTCTTTAGGAGGTTCTGAGTAAAATGGTTTGTAGAATTCATAGCTTACTATAAAAGAATTGGTGGAGGAGTTGTACTGATTCATAAGAGTATCAATCTTAGTAAGTATTTCTGAGATATAGTTTTTGTCTAATATGATTCTGTTGAAGAGTCTTTTGGGTATTAAGGTATAGTATCTATCTTTAATTACTAAAAAAGATTTACCGTGTGAAAAATATTGTAAATTGTGTGTGTGTGTACTATAAATTTTTTTGAGTTGTAGTTTTGAAGGTCTTTTACTGAAATGGAAATAAATTGTGAGGTTGTTTTTTTTTCTTATTGATTTGGTCTTCATGTTGTATATAATTGTTGAACTTTATTAGTAATCTTATATGAAATCAGATTGGTTTTATGTATTGTTTTAATATTATAACTAATTCCTTTCGTACTAAAGTTTAATAAAAGTTCTTAATTGTAGATAGAAACCTTCCTGTCTTACGACGGAATGAACTCAAATCATGTATGATTTTAATGGTCGAACAGACCAACCCTCAAAAGCTGCTACACCTTTAGGATATCACAATTCAACATCGAGGTGGCAAACATTTTCATCGATATGAACTCTTCGAAAATATTACCCTGTTATCCCTACGGTAACTTTTTTCATGGTCGTTAAGTTTTAAAATTTAATTAACGGGTCATTATATCCTACATAAATGTAACTGATTAACTTGTTTGTATACAGTAAGGCAAATCATATTACTATAGAAACCTTTAGATTTCCTCTGATACTATTTTAGAGGTGGTCGCCCCAACCAAACTAACAAACTTACAAAAATTATGTAAATAGATTATTATTATTTACCGAAAATATAAGTTTATAGTAAAGCTCGAAAGGGTCTTTTCGTCTTACAATTATCTAACAGCATCTTCACTGTTTCTTCAAATTAATTGAACTCTCTCCTCGAGACAGTTAGAGATTCGTTTAACCGTTCATTCCAGTCACCAATTAAATGACGAGTGATTATGCTACTTTATCACGGTCAGAGTTACCGCGGCTATTTAATTGTTTTTATGTTATTATTAGCAACCATTGAGCAGGTTTCACCTCATATCTATCAAATGAGGCTATGTTTTTGGTAAACAGTCGATCTCTTTAATGGATATTAACCATCTTTGCCGAGTTCCTTAAGGAGAGTTGATTCTTGCTTTATTTTCTCATGGTTTGATGGTACGATTTATATATTTTGTCGTTTTCTTGACTGAAAGTTTGACTTATTAACCTATATTTTTTAGGGGTCGTATAAATTCTAAAACCTTGAAAAATTTTATTATTCATGCTTACATTATCTCCACTATTATTATAGTCTGTTCTACTACCTTGTTCAAAGTTTCAGTTTAGTTTAGTCATCTGAATTTTTAGTAAATATATTCTTAAAGCCTGCTATTACGCGTTGATTAAAAGGTGGCTGCCTCCGGGCCTACTCATTTTATATTTTTACTTTTTAGTGTGATGCACTTAAATTATTGGTGTCTTTAACTTTTGATGTGAGTTGTTTCTCTTTTGACCATAAATCTTGTCATTAATAGTCTGTTAAAATGTGTTTATTTATATATCATTATTAATTAAAAATATATAAATTTCAAAATTTTCTCTTATAAGAATTTCGTAGAAAACCAGCTATTTCTAAGTTCGGTTGGTATTTCACCTCTATTCTAAAATCGTCCAAAACTTTTGCAACAGTTATTGGTTCACACTAATTGTTGTTCTAGAATAAATCACTTAGTTTCGGGAATAATTGGTTATTTTATTATTTAAATTTGCTCTGAAACTAACCAAATTAGTTCTAGTAAGCCCATTATACAAAAGGTACGTTGAATTACAACAGATTATTTGAGAAATTGTTATTATCGTAGTAAATTTCCTTCACAGTATTACTTTTATCAGTCATGTTCAATATCACTAAGATTTTAATTAATCAACTATTATCATTGTGATTCCAATTTCGTTCGCCACTACTATTGGGTCTTTATTAATTTTTTAAAAGATGTTTCTTCTTTTTTAGTTAAAATTGTTTTCATTACCAGTTTATTAGTTAATAAATTATAAATAATTTCCTTATAAGGTGGTATATGAACAAGCTTATATTTATTCCTCAAAAATTTGGAGGGGGATTTTGGATCTTGTAGGAGCAAA